GCATTAATTGATGTAACGACATCGATGATAGATACTAATAAATACAACCTTTAAGAAAAAAAAAAGAAGATAATTGGACGGCCTCGGCGTGAAAAGCTGCCAACGCCGGATGATAAACACCATTCCTCTTCCGCGGAGGGGCCATGTCACCGCTTCGTTAACATGCGGGTCGAAACGCCGCATCTGCATTCTGGCGTCTGCGACGAGACGACGGACAAAGTGTTTGCGTGACGATACGGTCTAAAACGTGGTCGAACTTCTGCGTCTGTGATTTTACCCGCGGCTGTCACTCCATCATTCTCACCTGTTAGCCGTAAAGCTAACATATTTGACACCGTGACCTTGTTAGAAAAGCGAGTGGAGCTGCACGATGACATTTTGACAGCAGTGATTTTTTTTTGATTTTTTATGGCACTGTCACTGATTCATGGAACCGATTCACTATTGAAAACCAGGGTTAGCATTTAGCACCGGCTTCATTAGATTGAAATTTGTAAATAAAATCCTGTGCTAGAAGTTATAATGTTAAGGTCTTTTAAAGACCCTGAAAAATACATTTAATTTTTTAGAAAAAAAAATTGCCCAAAGATTACGAAGAACTGGCAAAAAAAAAAATCAAAAATGACGTTAGCTAGCTATTTCCTTTTTATTCTTATAATAAAAACAACTTAAAAAACTTTAAATATTCATTGTACTTTTTTAAAAAAAATGTTTGTTTTAATCTCAACGTAATATCGTCGTGGGCACCAACATGGCGAGAACCGTTTGGACTAACCAACTCTGCTTCTGTGGTGCCTGCCTTTCCCCATTAAGGCCACCAGGAGGCAGTATTACAGTGGCTAAGCTGAGGCACGCGTTCACATTCTCAGCAACCGTTTGGCATTTAACTCCGTTGTCACTTTGTCGATGTAGTTAATTGTGAGCATGAAACGCTGCCTCGTTAGGGCGTTTCTGCTCGTCTCGGGGGGGGCGCCCTCACACACACGTCATGAATAACCTGAAGTAAACCGCTGTCTTATTTTAATTTTCCTGCCTGTGTAATTGACAGGGGGCGCAGTTTCCTCAGTATTTGAGTGACCCTCGAGACGAGGCCGATCGTTGATGAGCTTCTGTAAAATGTCAGGAAAACAAAAGTGTTACATTCAAACACATGATTGATTTTTTTTCTCTCTCCCTCCTCCCGATTTCTCCAGAGTTACAACAAATTTATATTTTCAGAGCAGAGGTTTCCAGCTCGACAACAAATGAGAAGGGAAACACTTTTAAAGGCCACGTAACAACGGACTGTTCATAAACTTTCAACTAAAAGTGTTTTTGTTTTTGCGCAGATGCTTACAGGACGTGAACGATTTAATTTTTTTTTCAAAAAACTTGGTTTAAATTAAACAGGAGACTTTTGAAAATGACACAGAAGGTAATAGTATAACTTAATTACGCTATAAGCTATATATTTGTATTTTATTGACTTATTTAACTCGGAATGTAGCTCGTAATGCTAAGCGGAATAGCCTAGCATTACGATCGATAGCGCCAAACTCACGCCAAGTGGTTGTCAATTAGTTAGCTATCAATATATTTCTATTTTTTTTATTCTATGTCCTACTATGACTACAACGGTACTTTTACTATTTATTATTATTTATTATAATTTATGTAATTTGTATGTTTACTGTAGCTTGATTGTTGATTGACTGACTCAAAATTTAAAGCGCTTTGGATAAAAATACATTAGATTTTTTAGAAAACAAAATTGCCCAAAGATTACAAACAACTGGCAAAAAAAAAAAATCAAAAATGACGTTAGCTAACTATTTTTTATTCTTTTTATTCTTATATTAAAAATTGTACTGACTTATTTAACTCGAAATGCATCTTGTAATGCTAAGCGGAATAGCCTAGCATTACGAACGATAGCTCCAAACTCACGCTAAAAAAATCAAAAATGACGTTAGCTAACTATTTTTTATTCTTTTTATTCTTATATTAAAAATTGTACTGACTTATTTAACTCGAAATGCATCTTGTAATGCTAAGCGGAATAGCCTAGCATTACGAACGATAGCTCCAAACTCACGCTAAGTGGTTGTCAATTAGTTAGCTATAAATATATTTCTGTCAGTTGTAGCGGTGCTTGTGTATATTGTCTTTAAAGTTATTATTTATAAATATATTCGCGGTTTTGTTGAGCTAAATTTAAGGTCACTTTAGGCTAAGTTAGTAGAGCTAGTGCTACATTTGCTAACCGGTATTTTCTATTAAGCAATTATTATTATTATTTATACTATTTTTCTTACTCTATGACTACAATGGTACTTTTACTATTCATTATTTATTATTATTTATGTATTTTTGTATGTTTACTGTAGATTGATTGTTGATTAACTGGCTCAAAATTTAAGGCCCTTTGGATAAAAACGTCACTAAATGTATTATTGTAATATAATTTTGCGTATTTATGACTTTATAGTACTTGTAGTCATGTCCTGAAATTGAATTATTGTAAACAAACAAATCGTTGACATGAACACTTCTGTTTTGTCCTTTCACAGGAGTGTTTCACAAACCAACCTGGGTTCGGGGACCCTTTGGAGGACAGGTTGGTATCAAACCCTCCGCCTTCTGATGACACACTTCACTCAGATGTTTTACACTGTTAGAAATAAGGTTCTGGTTTTCTGTCGTCCTCGCCGGGTCCGTCAATCATCCTGGACTCACGCGAGCCTCGTAAAAAATTCGGCGGGTTTTCGTTTGTCAGCTATTGGTTAGTGTGCGAGAGTCGAACCTCTGATCGCTCATTTTCTGCTGCTTCTCTTTGAAAATAATAGCTAAATAAAAACCTCTCATTTTGCCAAGGGGCCCCTTGAGCCTCCCTCCTCGAGGGTCCCTAGACCCCACTTTGGGAGCAGTTGGTTAAACCAGCATTTACTGGCTGTGGTAATGACGCTTGTTTGTCCAGCGGTGTGTAAATCACGCTAACATTAGAGCCGTCCCCGCAGACCCACTGGAGACACGGCGGAGCATCACTAATGCAGCCGAGCCCTGGAGACGCTCACTTTCAGATCTATGAGACCGGGACTCTGACTACAGACCCCCCGACCCCCTACATTCCCCGCCCCTCTGAAGAGAAGGGAAACACAGCAGTAGGACGAGAGACAAAAGTCCTATAAAAAGAATCATTTGAACATATCGTTAGGGTCGGGGTGGATGGAGGATTTGAACCCGCACACATGTTGACGGAGAAGAGCGCCGCCGGTCCGAAATGTCCTCCTGTTGAGGAACATCATATTACTTCACGTTAGGGGAAGATCGATTATGACAAAAATTCAAATTCGCAATTTAAAAAAAAAAAAATCGTATTGAAATCCTGGTTCGCGAATTTGATTTTATTGAACTTTTGAACTGTATTTGGACGTCAAACTGACAATAATTACACATTAGTGAAAAAATATAAATATTATCATAACATGTTTAACTGTGACTGCAGCAACAACTGTCTAGTTGCTAGTTAGCCTGCTGTTAGCGTTAGCCAGCCTTGGCTCCGGTCACTCACATCATGATGTGCAATCGTCGAATCTTTGGTTCAAACCATTATAATAACAAAACTCTATGTCGAAGGGAGATGCTGTCCCTCACTTGGACGGACAGAAGGGACAGGAGTTGTCCAGGCTGAAACTCAGCCACACCTGGATACATTTTTTGTGGATGGTGTGGGAGCAGCTGAGTGGGTGGAGGCTGTCGGGACTCACAGGGTTCTGACAGACCAGGCAGGGTTTACAGACCCCCCCGCCTCCACCTCCACCTCCGCCGGCTGCCAGGTTCCCATGGTTCCCCTGGTTTGGATCTGGGGTGGTGGTCCTACCGCTGGTTCCAGGGGTGGACCTGGACAGTATGAGTCCAGCCTCCTCGATGATCTCCTTCACAGACATCCCGGCTAAAGTGCCTCGGGAATTCTTCACCTGCCGGAGCAGCTGGGTCAGCTGGTCCTCGTTGTACTGCGGGTAACGAGCCCTCAGCCTCTCCAGGACCTTTTGTAGTGTACCAGTGGGGGCGCTGCCGCTGGTACCACCAGGGTGGACTGGCTGAACGGGAGGGGAGGGGGAGGGGGAGAGACTGGAGGGAGGAGTCACACTCAGCGGGGGTCTGACGTGTGGCGGGAGCTGGTGGAGAGGCTGCGGTACCAAGTACTGTTCAGGTGACGGGTGCTGGTAGTACTGCTGGTACTGGGGTTGGTGCATGAACTGGTACTGATCCTGATGGAAGTGTGGGTATCTGTGTGCAGGGACGGGCTGTTGGACCGGATGAGGAGCTGGAGGGAAGGTCTGCATCACCTGACTGAACCTGAGGTCAGCCTGTAGACGGTGACAAAAGATTAGATCGGTTTAGATTAAATTAAATCAGATTAGATTAAATCGGTTTAGATCAGATTAGTTTAGATTAGATCAGATTAGATCGGTTTAGGTTAGATTAAATCATATAAATTTAGATCTGATTAAATCGGTTTAGATTAGATTAAATCAGATTAGTTTACACTAGATCATATCAGATTAGACTTAATCAGTTTAGATTAAATCAGATTAGTTTAGACGAGATTAGATCATATTAAATCGGTTTAGATTAGATTAAATCAGATTAGTTTACACTAGATCAGATCAGATTAGATTAAATCAGATTATTTTAGAGATTAGATCAGGTTAGATTAAATCGGTTTAGAAAAGATTAGATTAGATTAGATCAGATTAAATTGGTTTAGATTAAATTGGTTTAGATTAAATCAGATTAGTTTAGCTAGATCAGATTAAATCAGATTAATTTAGACTAGACCAGATTAGATCATATTAAATCAATTTAGATCAGATTAGATTAGATCAGATTAAATCAGATTAGTTTAGACTAGATTAGAGAAGATCAGATTGAATTGGTTTAGATTAGATGAAATCAGATTAGATTAGGTCAGATTAACCTGATCTCTGGGGACGTTGATGTGACGGCCACAGACCGGAACATTTCTTCCTTAACACCTAATCCAAAATTTCAGCATTTCTCACCACACGTTTAATTTTACAGTGTCAGAGAATGTGCCGTACCGTGGGGACCTGCGGCAGCAACGGGACATTGATCCTGGGGAGGGTCTCTAACTCCCGACCATTCTGCAGCTGCTGCAGAACTTCCTGGAAGCGGCTCTGGAGCTCGTGCTGGTTTCTCCGGACCACGGCCTCCATTTTGTCCCACCGCTGCTTCTCGTGAGGATACCCTTGAGGAAACTCCTCCCGCAGCGTGTCCAGATACTGACTCAGCTAGGACAGACAGTGACACGTGTGATTGGACAGCACAGACCGTGGAGCTGTGAAGACTACAGGAGACTCGCAGACAATATTCACAACAACAACCTCATCATCATTCCTGACCCAATGACATAATTCGGACAAGTTTGGCGGGCCGGATTAAAAAAGCCAAACGGGCCACATCCGACCCCCGAGCCACAGCTTGCTCATGCATGTCCTAGCCTCAATCTGCAGCAAATTCATACAGGAAGACCATCCGTTTATACTGGGTTTCAAACTGGTGACTTTCTTGATGTAAGGCAAGAGCTCAAACCACCCAACAACCGTGCTGTTTCATATTAAGGTTTATATTTAAAACTCCAAACATCCAATCACAGCCTTCGGTTCTTTCAGTTATCTACGTACCTCTTTGTACCAGGCCTCGATGTGGGTCATGGCGACGTCCCGCTGCTTTTCCACTGCGGCTTTCTCGTTCTGCAACGCCTCTAGCTCGGCCTCCTCCGCCTTCTTCCTGGCGAGCTGCATCTCCCGCCGTAACTCCTCCAGCTCCTCCTGCCACCTGCACTGCTCCTCGTTTTGCTCCTCTGTGAGAGCCTTCAGCTTCCTCTCGCTCTCCTCCAGCTCGTTGGCCAACCTGATGGTGGAAAGTGAGGGAACGATTGTAAAAAGAAAAAAAGGTTCTGATAGTAAACGCCAACACTTCTGATGGTACCAGGACCTGCTCTTCTCCTCCTCCGCTCGGTTCTTCTCGGCCGTCAACTCTTGGTTTTTGGCCAGGAACTTCTTCTTGGCGTGTTTGGAGTTGTTCAGCTGCAGTTTTACTTGAACAGACTCCAGTTTTTCTGACAGACTCTGAAAAAAAATGAAGTTTGACTTTGAGAAGTGTCTCAAAGAGGCAATGCGTAAATGACACAGGTAAATCCAAGATGGAGGCAGAGCGCGTCAGTCTCACCTTGTTGCTACGAACGACCTCCTCCTTCTTCCTCTGCAGTTGTTGTTTGGCTTTCTCCTCTGCCAACTTCGCCTCCTTCTGCTCCTTCTTCAGAAGCTCGTACTGCTCCGACAAAGTGATGCTGGATTCCAACATGGCCGCCACCTGACCCTCCCAGTCTGGGTCTGTGTTGACAGCGGAGTCCCGTGTCACGCTCTCCGTCTGAGTGGTCTGGACGTTCTGCAGAGGTTCTGAGGATTCTAGGATTATATGCGTCAGTATGTTAAAATGTAATACGAAAAATAAAAGTTAAAAGTTTGTGTTTGTTTGAGTTAAGTCCGTTTGGTTTCATTTTCATTGACACAAAAGGAAACACTTAAGTTTTGAAAAGTCAACTCTCTCGTGTCAAAAGATGTGATTTTTTTTTTTATGTAACGACAATATTCGCTGTTTCTACCTTTAACAGTCATGTTGTCGAACTCGAACTCCAGCTCGTCCTCCTCCGCAGACAGACGCCGCTCAGCCTCCGCGTTAGCCTCCATGCTAACAGAAGAACGAAGGTTTATGTTGTTTCCTTTAAACAGCCAATTTTGTTTAATTCTACAAAAATAAAAATAAAACAATTTTTAAAAATGGGGGAAAAGAAGAATCACGGAGAACGATCACGGTTCGGTTCAGTCCGTCGTACAATATGATCCGACGGAGACTCTCCCATCTCACTAGTTCCGCCCTAAAGATCGTCCACGTACCATTTTTGTCGCTTGATAATAACGCCAAAGATACGTTATGAAATATAAAAAGTTGATATTTGTGATTTTTTACGCTGCATTATATAATGAAACGCCAACATTATTTTAATTTTAAAAATTCCCGCTCTAATTCAATATATATACAAACAGAAAGAACCGAGTTTTAAATCATTTCTTTTGGCATACATGGCTGTGTTTACGTTACACATTTTATTTTATATCCCTTCCTTAAATGGTTGTTCGCACTAGGAGGCTAGCATGTTAGCTTTGTTATAAATGTTCCATGGCAAAACTTCTTAAAATAAATTATACGTTCACAATGTGTCCGATTAGACTGTAAAATATTTTTTGGTTATTTTATTTATTTATTAATTATTTTATTTTTTAGTATTTTAATTGTAAACACGTAGTTTTATTAAAATAAAAAAATAAACATTCTCTGTTATCGTTTATGAATAAAAAAAGAAGAGGGAAAACAAATTCAGAGTGAGCCATCTTCTTTTTCGTCCCGCTCTCTCCGTTTCCCATCAGAACTCCCGGTAGTCACATGACGAAGCAGGAAAACCTCCTGACTCCGTGCTCCTCCTCTCCTGCCCTAGCACCGTCACAGTCGCTAGTTTTCTCGCCGTGAGTGAGCGAGAGTGAGTGGGTGTGGGTGTCGGTTAGCTTCATCGCAGCTATCCCAAAGCAGCGGGGAAACATGGCAGACACGGACAGCGAGGTTCGACAGATGCATACCGACTTCGAGGAGCTAGAGGACGCGGAGGACCTGTTCCCGGAGCCGGCCGCCACACAGGAGGTGAGTTTGATGATGATGATGAGGAGGAGCAGGAGGAGGATGAAGAGGAGGCCGAAGGGAGCAGCGTCAGGTAGGGCGTGATGCTTCCAACTGTCAGCCGTTAAAGACTCACGGGAGACGGGAGGGGCGATGTGTTTGTTTTATTCACCCTCGAAGCAGCTGCTAGAATAACGGTGGCCTTCACAGCGACGGGTACAGGAGCCGAGCCGGGTCATGTTTTGGGGAGGAGGTAAAACAAAAGGGAAGAGCAGGTGTGTCCGCTCTGTGTCAGGCGACAGTCACGCAGGTGAGGGTGATGCGTTCAGGGCCGATCGGTAAAACACGAGAATGGCCTCGTTTTGTACGCATTTATTAAGTGAAAACAGTGTCAACACAGAAACGGATGTAAACAACACGTCACGGTGTTTACTTCGTTGTACGAACACACGTTTCTTAGCCAAAAAAAAAAAAAAAAAAGAAAAGAAAAGAAACTTTTAAAGCTTTATTTGAATTTTCTACTGATACCAGACTGAAAGTTTAGGACTATTCTGTTGTTGCTAATACTTCTGTGGTATTGTAGTAATACTTTAAGTATACATTTAAGTAAAAAAAAAAAAAAAAAAAAACACGTAACAAACGTCTTTTATGTCCTGATTGGTTCAAAGTTCGCTTTTCGATGCGAGATTTTAACAGTCATCATTTAAACTTTGCCCTGAAACTATCCCGTGATCTCAGGACTTTATAGTCTTTTCCAGAAGATGTGGAATTGAGGGTATTCCATTTTAATGCAGACAAGATGATTTAAAAGAAAAACAGGCTACTGTTGTGTTTTCTACTCATTTTAACTTCACCAGATATTTGAATGGTTCCAAAAATAATCATTGTGGTTACTCATAATTCCTGGCAGCCATGTATTTGTGCTGTGTACTTGCCTAAAACTGTAAAACAGCCACTGCTAAACTTGTGGGTTTGTGAGTTTTGCATTTATGCTAAACTGTTAGCACTAACTGCTCCTCAGAGCTCAAGACTTTTCAGGGAACAAACTTACAGGTTTTTTTATTTTTATTTTCATTAAAAAGTGTATAAATGAGACTAATGACACTCTCATAAAGCTAGAAGACTTTTTTGGGGGTAAAATGTTGGTTAGTGCCACCTTCAGGTTCAGTTGATGCTGACACGTATGATTAGCAGTACAAGTGATTTAATTAATATTATATTAGGGGGAAAAAACAACAACCAAAAAACAACTTGAGTTTAGAGTTCACACACACACACACACACACACACACACAGGTCTTTAAAGAATGCTGTTGTGACACTCAGGAAGGCAGTGCTGACATGATGAAAACAAGTGTGTGTGTGTGTGTGTTCCACTTCCTAGAATATCGCTGAGTGTGTTTTTTTCGTGGACCGATGAAGGATTTGCATTTGTGAGGAAACTCTGTTTGGTGAAACGTAAAAGTACTAAGTTGTACCCGAACAAAAACAGAACAAAACAGAACAAGTGTGTTTAAAAAAAAAAAAAAGTGACACCATTTTGTTGCTCATTTTGGAAATAAATAAAACAGAAAATAGAGCACGAGTGAGTGTTTCTCCAAAAGAGTACCTTTAAAGTACTGTCCTGGTACTGTTCTTTGGTTTATTTGGTCTTGTGACTACAGTTACGTTGGTGGGGAAAAAAAACAAAACTCAATATATCGTCGTGCCTATAGCATCGCAATATATCGTATCGTGATACGTATTGTATCGTCAGATTCTTACCAATATACGCCCCTAGTCATTTAACATTTTGTATTTTCTGTCGCGATACAAGCTTCTTGTTTGAGACGCTCTTGTTCTTACTTACGTTTACGTTTGGGCTTACGTTTCTCTGCGTGTCAGCGATTTTCAACCTCCGGCACGGATTTCCTCTCCACGTGTTCACGCAGCTTCTGGGCTGTTGGCCGCGGCTGCATCTCCTCCTCGCCGTCCTCGTGAGCGTTTGTTTAAGTAGGTCGACAATCTTGGCGGTTTGGAGGAATTCTAACTTGAGGTACAGAGAGACAGGAGACGGAAATACTTTGTAGGATTTGTCAAACAAACTGCTGAGGTCCCAGTGAGCTGACATATATGTGTATATGTGTGTGCAGTCTGGACCAGCCAGTTTACCTGCAGAAGACATCGGTACCAACTCTAATGGACCCAGACAGGATCTGCTGTTTGATGATGATCCGGAGGACCTGTTCGCAGGTACACACACACACAAACACCTATAATATATATGTATGTATATATGTTTATAAGTGTATATATGTATCTATATGTATATTTGTTTATACGTGTATATGTGTACATTTATATATATGTACATATGTATGTGTATATATTTATATATGTATATATGTATGTATATATGTATATAAGTCTATATATGTAGATATGTACAGTATATATCTGTATATATGTGTACATTTATATATGTATATATGTGTATATATGTATATAAGTCTATATATGTAGATATGTACAGTATATATCTGTATATATGTGTACATTTATATATGTATATATGTGTATATATGTATATAAGTCTATATATATATATATATATATGTGATATGTATGTATCATGTGTATATCACGGTGTCTCTGTACACGTTTGTGTGGTAGAGGCCACAGAGGAGGTGTCGTTGGACAGTCCAGAGAGGGACATCCTGCTGTCCGATGGTCCGTCTCCCGCCATCACGCCCATCACCCCTCCCTCTTCTGTCATCACCCCGTGCCTCGGCCACGATGACATGTTCATAAAGTCCTCCTTCAACGAGGTAATGGGATTACTAATTGGTCCCAAAACTGTTATTCATTTATTGCAAATACTTTTTCTTTGTTCGTCAATGCCTGACAGGCGGAGAAATGAAATCCTATTCCGCTAGGTGGCAGCAGATTGTTATTAAAACTAAAAATTAGAGCTGGTGAAGAAGATCTTTGTTAGTGTCTTTCTTCAATACCTGCCAGTAAATCAGCAATGTCCTCAATTAAATAGGAGTACATTTTTAGTAAATTTAAATGAGAAGATTATTAAATATTATCACATTACATATACTATTTGTGAAATTGATTTTTCGTGGTGTGTTGATGATTTTTTTTTGTTTAGACTAAAATACAAAGAGAAAACCAATGTTTCAGAACTGTGGTGTTTCCTACTCTAGATTGATGAAGAAGAAGAAGAAGAAGAAGAGAGCGATTCATTCAACATGCACATATCAGTGTCTGACCCTGAGAAAGTGGCAAAATGTTCTAAGACAGATTTTGCCTGGTGTCTGAAGCCTGTCTAATTTTTTAAAATTTGATTTGTCTTTTTCTCTCCTTAAAAATAAATGATTTTGAATTTGAACTGCAGAAACCCATGTCGTTAACTGTGTTTGTTATTTCAAATAAAAGAAAAAATATTTGCCTGTAATATTTGTGTGTTCTAGGTGACGGGATGAATGCGTACATGGCTTACAAAGTAACGACAAAGGTGAGAATATTTACTTTACTTAATATATATATCTGTATGTATATACTTTTGCACGCCACATTTTTCAGTTTTTTATTTCTAAAAACAATTTAAAGTCATGTATAATTTTCCTTCTACTTCACAATTGTGTGTCGCTTTATGTTGATCTTTTATCTAAAATGCCAATAAAATATATTTATGTTTGTGGTCGGAACGTGACAGAATGTGGGAAAGTTCAAGTGGTATGAATACTTTTTCAAGCCACTGTATGTGTATATATATATACATATATCTATCTATATACGTATATACATATGTGTATATAAATATATATACACATATCTATCTATATATGTGTATATATGTATACATATATACTTCTGTATATATCTTCTATTAAAACACTTGTTTCTGCAAATATATCTGCATGTAGTCTGCACAAACATCGCCCCCGTGTGGTGAACTCATAACTCTCATAATTTAATTATTTTTCATTTTTACAAACCTGTGACATTTTTACTCGTGTGCGCTACACAACAGAGGTTTCCAATTGTTGGGCCTCGGCCCTGCACTGCATCATGGGTAATTTGGTACCAGGTTGCAGAGGGTGAAAAAAAACATGTTAATTGCACTTAATTACAAAATAAGTTTTATTTTGCCAAATTCTTTACCTATTAAAAAACACTTGATGCTTGTCAAAATAAAAGTCCTCGGAGAGTTTCAGTATAAAAGCCGCCGTCTTGTGTCCCAGGAGATGAACGTGTTAGTTTTCCCATAAAGAGGCTTAGTATTGACAGAAGTATTTAAGGTTTTGTAATGTCATGTGATTCTCTCTCTGTCAGAGATGTTCACAAGTCACTTTTTCCAAGTCCAAGTCAAGTCTCGAGTCTTTGAGGGGCAATGCCAAGTCAAGTCCCAAGTCTTTCGTCCCAAGTCAAGTCTCAAGTCTCAAATAGCTGAAATGAAAGTTTTCATATTAGACGCTATCCGGGATAATACTGCATTGCTGTGTTGTTTTGGATTAAAAGTATGTACTGTACTGTACTATAGGCCTATAATATGTTATTGCACACTACACCATCAAAGTTGATCAAAACAATGTACTGTGCATGTGCAATGTGAAGAAACATCACAAAAGCTTTAAGCTTGATCAATGTATTTTGTGAATACCACAGGATACATACAAACTTCTATACAAAAATACTAGCATCTGAACAGCGTTTTAGGCTAAGAAATCATATGCATTACGTGCTGTTTAAGGAGAGGTTTCCGTTTCTGTTATGTCAGTGACAACATTAGTCTAAACTAAAACAGCCACACGCAGGCTGCTACTTGCGGCTAAACGTAGTGGCCTGAAGTATAAAATAAATCGGTAACGTCAGAGGAGGGGAACTATAAAACTAGCCAACAGACTACAACTGTGGTTGAATTAGTTTGCTAACGGTAACGTTATCTTCCCATACAAGCCCAATTTCCCTTTGCCCACTGACCTATTCTTGTGTGTTCTGAGGTGCCTGAGAAAGTTCGACGTTGTTGATCCAGCATCATTTATCTTAACGCCACACTCCTTACAAGTAGCCGTCCACTTACTGGATGTCCTGCGCAAAGTCTTTATAAGCAAATGCAATGACAAAAGGAATCGCTCCAGTCTGACTTGCCGCCGCCATGGTCACTGTGATATGAAACCTAAACTTGAAGCAGCACGCATGCGTTACAAACCTTAGCGCGCGATATCAAGGGAGGAAACTACTTCTGCCTGCGATTTTTCCATAACGCTGGGAAACACATTGAAAAAAGTGAAATGAGTTAAATGATAAAATAGATAATTCCTTGATTATGGACTTTATTCACGACTCACGAGTCATAACACCGAAGTCCGAGTCAAGTTTCGAGTCTTAGAGGGCAAGTCTCAAGTCAAGTCACAAGTCTTTGTGCGACTTAAGTGCGACTCGAGTCCAAGTCTCAGACTCAAGTCCCCATGTCTGCTCTGTGTAACATGCGTTGTTTACATTTCCCTCCGTTTTTTTTCCCTCCGTTTCTCTCCCTCAGACTTCCATGTCTTTGTTCAAACAAAACGAGTTCGCAGTCAAGCGGCGTTTCAGTGATTTTCTGGGCCTGCACAGCAAACTCGCCTCCAAGTATCTTCATGTAGGCTACATAGTACCACCTGCGCCGGAGAAAAGCATTGTGGGTAAGTTGGAGCGCGGCTACGTTCCTCTGGGAGACGTGTTTAAATCTAACTGGGTCATAGTACTGTGTATACCACAGCGGCGGTGACATAGACAGGTGCTTAGTGCGCCATCTGCTGGAGGGGTTGATGTCAAAGAAATTAGTAAAATGGGAGGTGATAGATGGCGCCAAACCTAATTCTCACCTAGCTCCTATGCGACTGTGATTGAAGATAATTAGCACAGGGTTAGCCTATAGTAGGATATAGTAGGATGTAGCCTTGAGTGCGTACGTAGCCTTGAGGACGTACGTAGCCTTTAGGACGTCTGTAGCTTTGAGGACCTACGTAGCTTTCAGGACGTACTTAGCCTTTGGGACGTACGTAGCCAAAGCACATTCTCACCTAGCTCCTATGTGACTGTGATTGAAGATAATTAGCACAGCGTTAGCCTCAATGCTAACAGCGTCCTTGGTCCTTATCTGTAAGCTACAGACGTCAACGTCTGTCCTCTGACTGTTTGCAGGAATGACTAAAGTGAAGGTGGGAAAGGAGGACCAGTCGTCCAATGAGTTTGTAGAGAAGAGGAGGTCGGCACTGGAGAGGTGACAACACACACACACACACACTAGGTATTTAGCTAAGCTACAGGGTTTCACAGTAATACTACATACCGTAGTATTTTATGCACATTACTGCAAATTCTCAGGAGCCCCAAAAAACTTGTAAATATCATTTTATACATTTTTTATTTTGTCGTACAGTGATGCTGTGAAAAGTGTGTCTGTGTGTGTGTGACTGAAGAACAGCCGAGTCAGAACTGTTGAGGTCAAGAGGTCAAAGCACAAACGTTAGAATCATCATTGTATTAATGTGCGCACGTGTGTGTGCGTGTGTGTGTTCGATGAGCAAGAGAGGTGGTGTCAGAAGTGGGCCGGGCTGACATTCTCCTAACCTTTACTGACACTTTATGATTGACAGGAAGGTCAGATAGTGACAGATCATGAGGCTGCAGAACTCTACACACACACGCAAAAATAAAAATATATTTCTGTGCTTACTGTACAGAAGTATGCTGTAAAAGTAAAAAAAAAAAACAATCCGTGCTTCCAGGTCCTTTCCAGGTACATTCACTCGAGTTTATTTGTTTTTAATTAAATATTATATAGATCTGCGTTTGAAGGTAGAACGGTCCAATAGGAGCCTGGCTCTCACTGGTCTGAGGGAAACCCCCCAGTATGTTACTGTCACGTGACCCAGGAGTCGAACCATCAACTTGTTTTGTTTGGATTTTCCGCTGTAGATACCTGATGAGGACGGTGAAGCATCCAATCCTGCGGAAGGATCCGGACGTCCTGCAGTTTTTGGAAAGTTCGGATGTGAGTAAGAAGACGACATGTGGTTGTTGAGCCATACATTCCCTAGGGGGCAGTGCTCTACTTCTCCTGTTTTGTCCTCAATGTTTTTTGTGTGTTGTCTGTTCCCGTCATCATAGATGTGCTAGTAGGATGTAGCCATGAGGACAAACGTAGCCTTGAGGACGTACGTAGCCTGGAGGGCGTACGTAGCCTTGAGGACGTACGTAGCCTTGAGGACGTACGTAGCCTGGAGGGCGTACGTAGCCTGGAGGGCGTACGTAGCCTTGAGGACGTACGTAGCCTGGAGGGCGTACGTAGCCTGGAGGGCGTACGTAGCCTGGAGGGCGTACGTAGCCTTGAGGATGTACGTAGCCTTGAGCACGTATGTAGCTTTGAGGACCTACGTAGCCTTAAGGACGTACGTAGCCTTGAGGACGTACGTAGCCTTGAGGACGTACGTAGCCTTGAGGACATACGTAGGCTTGAGGACAAATGTAGTCTCGAAGACGTACGTAGCCTGGAGGGCGTACGTAGCCTTAAGGATGTACGTAGCCTTGAGCACGTATGTAGCTTTAAAGACGTACTTAGCCTTTAGGACGTACGTAGCTTTAAGAACGTACTTAGCCTTTAGGACGTACGTAGCCTTTAGGAAGTATGTAGCTTTGAGGATGTACGTAGCATTTAGGACGTATATAGCTTTGAGGACGTACGTATCTTTGAGGACGTACGTATCCTTTAGAACGTACATAGCCTTTAGGACGTACTTAGCCTTTAGGACGTCTGTAGCTTTGAGGACGTACGTAGCCTTGAGCATAAATTCGCCTCGATGACACCACAGCCTGGTGCGAGGTTCCACGGCCTGATCTAAAAACTACCTCAAGGTTTAAGGGTCTGCAGCGTGCGGCGTAGCCTCACATTCTTGTCCACTGCTGCTTAATTCGGGACGGCGTTGCGAAGGCATCAGAATAAATGGCTTTGTGTCACCGCTTTAACAGATGAATCACTTGAACGCTTGACCGAGCATGTCGCTCCATCCAGCCGCCTAATGAAACACAACCACAGGTGGCGCAGGAGAGGAGGGATACAAATGGGACACAACAGCAATTGAAATCTATTTAACCCTCCGCACCCCCCACCCCCCTGCTCATTTACCCTCTCCCCTCCATCAGTGAGGGCTCCAGAGACCCCTGCGTTCCCATGCTGCTCCCTCTGTTCTAAATTAGCGGTGGCAAATCTGCGGCGCTATCAGAGGCCCGCCCTCACACGC